ACAATAGCTAAACTCCCTAGAACCACATATCTAACGTCTTGCATTGACCGGAGAGCACTAATTAAGGAAATACGAAACGTTAACACCTAATAGATTTTAATTTAATTGGAAATTACCCTTAACTGCTGTTAGTTACATTTTTGAGCAGGAAGAGCTGGCCCACTTTAATTTTGCTTTTAGATATTAAAAGTAGAAATTACCCTTAACTGCTTTTTCCCATATGCTGAAGTTGAGAAGTCTCCAAATAGGCCACGTTTCAGTTTGTCCGTGTCAACATTCAAAGCACTCCTTTTCTCCTTGGTCAACAACGGGCTGGACACAGATTGCTGTGATGAGGCAGCCTGAAAATTTAAAAAACGTCGAGTTTCAGAGTAACAACAAAACAGGTCGGGCTTTAACGAAATATTTGGAGTAAGTACCACGGTTTCAGGCTCGGAAAACTCTCTAGCCAGTCGAGTGAACTCATCTTCCTCCTGTTAGTATAACTTGTTAAAAATCTAGGGGAGAATGTGTCTACAGAATTCAAAAAATAAATAAATTTATACCTCAACGGCATTTATCTTAGATGAGTAAAGTGCCAGCACTTTGGGGTCGGTGTTCATCTTTACAATGCTGAAAGTCTGATTTCCTTTGAAACTCCTTCTTTCTCTATTGAATTGCACCTTAAACAAAGCCTTTATATCAATGAGCGAGTTTATCTCAGATGGGAAGTAATGTGGTCCGAAGTTCCTCTGCAAGGATTTATAACTTAGTTCACAATGTAAGACAAACTAAGAGAAATATGACTTAGGATGCAAACAAACCCTAGATATTTGTTCCTTAAGGGATGCGGCAGACTTCCCCAGCAAGCATGACACCTCCCTATCCCAGGGCAGGAAGGAGGCATGCATTGTGCCATCAACTACCCGCACGTTTACCTTAAACCTGAATCCAACAAAAAAAGTTTTTTTAGTAGTTGTAGTTGTAGATCTTAAAACCCAGATTAATGTGTAGATTACAAACCTAAGAACATCATCATTTGAACTGCAAGAGACACACCAAAAGCTATCCCCGTTAAGGGAAACCTTACGGTTACAACCAATGCAAGAAATGTAGGACCATTCTTTGAAGCTGTCGATAGCCACAATTTCCCCGTAAACCCAGTGCTTCCCGTCCTGTTTATGATGCATAAATATAAGTCAAATTTTATTTTAACATATTTCAACATAAAATTGAAATTCACTTGCCTCTTGAAGTTTCGTAAGATCCTCAATAGTGATCAAATCCTGCCGGCCAGTTCCAATGTCCCCATCGTCCGAGTTGTCAGTTGTTATTGAAAATCGAAGTCCCTTACTGGACCTTTCAGCCATCCTGAGTTTTTAGTAGTAGTTGAGGAAGGCTGTTTTGTTCATCTTGGTATCATTAAAGATAAATTTTAAGACTATATACCTTGACTTGAATTCCACAAATTCTTCACCACTCCCATTTAGAATGACCTTGGTGGTGTTAAACATGTTGGAAACATGAACATGACCTAATTCAAGTATCATCTTTTGTTAGATATTATTGGATAAAGTAACCTAAGGGTAAGAGGTGTAAAGATAACCTTGATACTTCCTAGCTCTGCA